TTATAAGTGATCTGCTATGAGGAATTGCAATATCTAAATGGTGATGGGACAGCAGTTCCCAGAATCAAGCCTAAGACCAAGTGATAAATATGAATACAGCTTCCATTGGCTAGGTCGCAATACATATGAAATTCCAGTATCTCAAATCCAAAAGTTGAATCAAAGTTCTAATCCTCAATGACACTACACGTAAGGTCATACAGAAGCTAGAGCTTTAAGTTCAGTAAAAAAAGTATCACACAGAATAATCTCCCCAAAAAAGAAATTCCAGCTAGCCATCTGATGCTACTTCAGCCACAAGCACACAGAAAGCGTCCACCACTAGCTACTGCACTGCTCGATTGCATCAGACCTTTGAAATAGTTTTGCTGTTTTATGGGTCATGCCTTTCTCTAATAGGGATGCTCTTGAAAGTTGGAGTTCTTGGGAAGTTGACAAAGCCATCAAGACTATTTGGGTGATGATCCTGGTGCTCTCTTTTGGTGTTTATGGACAAACGGAAGAAACAATGTTTTGATGGAATTTCAACTTCTACAAAACTTTTGAGAAGCAGATGTGTAGTTAGCCTTTTCAGCTGATCCAGATTGACCCTTGTAAATAATTTAGAACTCTTCTTGGATATTCTTAGCTCTATAGTTTAGGAAGAAGCTACAAATCCTTGTTTTTGTGAGCTCGACTAAGCTATCCTTGTAAAGCTTGCATCTTCTTGATGCCTTTAATGATTCTACTTACTTCATCAAAAAAGAGAAGTTCAGCAAAAAACTGAAAGATGATTGATATGTATTGCCTTAATCTTTTTTTCCCCTCATTCTCTTGGATAAAATATTGAGGGAACCGACGCAAATACTGACTAGTAACCATCAAAACTTTGTATATGTCAAGAAAACATGAAAGCACATGAGATTTCAGTAATTCAAATCCAAAAATGGAATCAAACTTCTAACCCTCAATGATACTACACATAAGGTCAACAACAGCCAAAGCTTTAAATTCGGCAAGATTTGTATTGCCTTGATCTTTTATCTTTTTTCATTTTCTTTGATAAAAAAATTTGAGGAAACTGACATCAAAATTCAAACCTTTGTACACAACACGCAAACAAGAGCTTACATAAGCTTGTAAAGCAATAACAGCAAGAAATGAATACACAAAATTGAGATTGGAACATTCATACGAATCAAACTATACAAAGCATTTTAACCTAATTTACGATTAAAAATCGTAACAGCCGGAGAGATATACAACGGAAACCTACTAGCAAGATTTCGACGGAAGCTACAGATCCTTAATGTTGTGAGCTTAACTGAGCTATCCTTGTTAAGCTTGCATCTTCTTGATGCCTTTAAATGAATCTACTTACTTCACCAAAATGAAAAGCCACAAAAATCTGAAAGATGATTGATATGTATCACATCTTAATCTTTTTCCCCTCATTTTCTTGGATAAAATGTTGAGGAAACTGGCGGCAAAACTGACTAGTAACCATCAAAACTTTGTAGACATCATGGAAACAAGAGAGGATTAAATGTATAATTCTATTCATACGAATCAAACAACATAAAAACATTTTTAACCTAATTTACGATTGATTTTCAACAGATTAAAATTCATAGCATGATTCTACCGGAGAGATAACGACGGAAACTTACACGCAGGAGTTCACCGGAGATTGAGATCGGAAGGAGCAAAGGAGAGTGAATGGCGTCAACTTTGGCCAGAGATTTAGCTGAATGACGAAATGTGAACCGGAGGGGAAATCGGGTCGAATCTAATATTTGCCAGCTCGTTATAACATTCCAGAAGGATCTAGAATTTATTTATCCGGCTTGTAGCCGCGACGCCACCAGAGCTCCAGCTGAAACGGAGATGGGTTTATGGGTATCCGGGTCACCACAATCGAATCGAGTCCACTTTAAAGTCAACATTGATGTTCTTGCCTGTTTGCTTTTCAAAAAAAAAAGTATATTAAAAATTAATTCGAGATAATGTTTGTTTTGAGAAATTTAAGATAAATATATCCTATATCATTTCATTCTATATAAGACAGTATTGGTTTTGCTCGAGTTAAATGATAATTGAATTTCAATTTTTCATTTTTTTAAAAAATATTACTTCTAATTAATTTATTTATTAAACACATAAATTTAAGTTTATCAAATTATATCGTAAGCAATATCAAATATCATATGATACTATTTAATAAATAAGTAGCGTATAAAAGATATATTACTAAGTATTAAATAATGAATTTTTGATTTGTTGAATATATTATTGATTCAACAAATTGAATTTTATAATTAAATAGTCATTGAAATTTTTATTTTTTAGTACTAAGAATTAATTTGAAATATTATATGAACAAAAAAAGAATGTTATTGAATTGTCAAGCTGTCTTTTTATTGTATATTAACATAATATTATTATTTATTCACGTATATTATTGCGATTTTATGACCAACTTATATGCATTGAACAAATCTATATAACATTCTTTTATACTGCTATATTTGTCGATAAACATGCATATATATAAAGCTAAAGTACATGAGTTGGCATTGAATGTTACAAAATAATTTTTATTTCGTCATTGATGAAATCTTGATTATGTAATAGTTGATTAATGAATCAAATATACACAACAATGACATCATTTTCCAAATAAAAGGAAACCTTTCATTAGTCAAATATGTATATGATAAAAGCACTTTTTTGAAAATAATAATATTTCTTTCTCTATTATTTATCAATCGTTTTGTTTTTGTGTTTTCTTTTCGTTCTATTTTTACTATTTATATGTAAATAAAAATGTAAGTGATGCGATCAAGTCTAATAGTTTTTTTCTATATGTATATAATTTGATAATATTAAGGATAAAATATAGGAAAATGAAAAAGAACACACATTCTAGACATATTATTTATTTTGTCCAGTTTTAAAGTTTATCGATTTGACTTATTGGTTATCAATTTATAGACATACTTACTCATAAATAAAAAAGAATTCAAAACGTTAGGAACCGATAACTTGATAATAAAAAAATCAAATTTGTTATCAATAAAATATTGAACTCATTGAATTTAACCCATCATAAATCAATCTCTCGTGACACAAACTTATTTGTAGATATGAGTATGCACAACTTACTTCTTGTTTATAAAGAAGGTTCAAAATTGATATATTTACATCAACATAGAAAAATTATATATATATATAATGTAACTTTTTATCGAAGAGGTTCGGGTGAATCCAAGTGGGTCGGCCCTGCCACTAACTTACATGGAAGAGTAGCTTTGCTTCATGGTTTAAAAAATCCTCTATAAAATAATTCAATACATGTAGGGGTCGTTTGGTAGGCCGTATTAAAAGAAATAATTTATGTATTAGGTAATGTATTATTTAGTAATATGTTTGGTAGGAATTTGGGCATATGGATTAGTTATACCTCCCACATGGTATTATAGAATGTATTACTAATTTCTTTCATTTGGAAGTATTAGTAATACAGAGGATATAATAACATTGAATTAGTTTATGTAAAGGCAAAAATATCCCTCAAATCATTTTGTTTATTTTCTTAATTTCATGATTTATATTTATACTGGTAAATTTATTTAAATAAATTAGTTTACAAATTTTTTAGAAAGAGTTGTTTATTACCAACTAAACCCGGTACAAATCAATACAAATTTTTTTATATAATAACAAAAATATCTCTTAAATCATTTTAACTATTTTGTTTATTTTCGTGATTTTATGATTTATATTTGTACTAATAAATTTATTTAAATAAATTAGCTTACAAATTATTTGGAGAGAGTTGTTTTTTACTAAATAAATCCAATACAAATCAATACTAATTCGAAATGTGAGCATATGACGTCTGTGATCTTAATCGAATGTGTGTGTGTACATATATGTGTGTGTAATTTTCTAATTATTTGTATTTTGAAGAATTTAAAACATACACACATATTAAAATTACAACTTGCAATTTTTATGTGTAAATGTAGATGGTTTATTCAATTTTACCATTGTTGACTGTCTTTTCGATTTTTAAAAGTGGATGATTTATCTTTTTAAACTTAAAATGACATTTTGTGAGTGATCAGTTTATTAAAATAACAATTATATATCCTCAAGTAAATCAAGTGAAAAAATAGCAAACATGATAATGAAATTGTTCCTCTCATAACTAGTTAGGAAGCCATAAAAAATAATTTTGTTAGGTAATTAACTACCTTGATCCAATTACCTAATATTTTAAGGGTATAAATGAAAAGAAACTTATTATAGAGTTTTAATACAAACACAAGATGAGGTGAATAATAATGAACCAAACACTTGATAAAAATAAATTATGCACTACTAATCCCTACATTACTAATTTTTGCACTACTAATTCCCGCGTTATTAATTTTTATACCAAAAGACCTCTTAGTAATCAAAATTAATTGTAATAAAATCATCGACGTGTTATTTAAATAAATATAGTTTAGACAGTAAAATAGAGAATTGAGTTGAAATTGATTTTCTGAAAAAATAGAAAACTCTATATTTGAAGAGTAAAATAGAGTGTAGGATTGGAGATGCCCTAAGAAGCTAATGGAGTGGACCGATTAACAAAAAAAATTAATGTGAACTTGATATTTTTTATTGAGTATAGGGTTGGAGATGCCCTAAGAAGAAGATTTATAAAACTAATAGGGGATAATGGTAATAAAAGAAATTAAATGTGAGATCAGTATTAATGCATTACGCAATTTAGATTGAATTGGTGTTTACTATACAAGTAAATAAATTTAAATATAAAGAATTTTGTACCAAAAGTGTACGAGCTCATAGTTTAGCATACAAAAAGGGCCAAAATAAAAAGTCCTCCCCGCATTTTTAACACTATTTTCCTAGTTTGAGACTGAAGTGGCATAAAAATTTACCTTGGGGACCAAATGCTTCATATACTTTACTTAAAGGACTAATAATAAATTTCATTTTATCCCAATACAGTCAATAACTAGTACTAGCACAGAAGACCGGCGGCGTTTGGTGGACCGGGGTCGAATTTGTAAACCGGCCGAAGTCAACCTCCCGTGATGGCTATCCCTGCACCACCATCGAGCTCCGCCGTTCCCGGCGGTTATCAGAAATCTAAGAGATCGTTAGGTTTCTTTGCAAACGCAATGAAGAGGAAAGATAGCTTTTTACAATTCTTCGCCATGACAGGAATTCTTCTTCTGAGTATGAGATCGCTTGGGCAAAAGTACCGCATAAACGACCTCGAGGAGGATAACGCCGCGCTCAAGGAAGAACAAGAAGGGCTCGTTCACCGAATGAACCATATCAAGCAAAGTCTACTTGCTGAAGCTGCTAGTGAGCCCACTGGTGCCTTTGCTTCCCGTCTTCGCCGCCTCTTTGGTGATGAAAGCTGAAACAGTTGAGTTTTTTGTTCTGTCTGAGTTTGTATTTCATATATATGTCCAATATTAGCAGAATTTATAGATTTTATAATTTGGGATTTTGGAGACTTCATCTTGACCTGGAGTGTTAAATTTGAAGCCTTTTATCTTCAGATATCTTAATTTTTCACTTCTAAGGTCTTTTAATTTACTGTTATATGGTATGAATTGTTCAAAAGAATTGCTAAAGGGAACACTTATGCCTAATTCTATCAGGTGATTGCAACAGCAGGGGAAATTAAATTGAATGTATGAATTATGTAGCATCTACAGAATGCCAACTTTTTGTTCTGTTACTTGACTAATCAAACCATGCACCCACTTCCTATCCATTCAGCTCCGTCAAGCTCCAGTTAAAGGCAAACTAGGAGTTCTCGAACTGATGAGATTCCCTGAGACATCATATTGCATCCATATAGATATTACAAGTCTCTAACTAGTATAAAACAGCTCGTTATAGTTTATACAAACAACAAAATCTCCATGCTAGTAAAAATCATTGAAACGTTTGAAATGATAAAAGTAGCATGCTTGGAATCACAACCTCTTCTCCATAGACTTTCACGGGGATAAATGTTGGTTTGATGCCAACAAGGTGTAATATTTTGATGTATTCAAGGTGATAGTTCAGCTGAGTGAAGAAACTCTAATAATATACCTAAAAGGTAAAGCCTTCATTTGTTGGAGTATCTTGCATGATTGCAGCATTTCTGAAATGATCATCAGGTTGACTATCCTTTTTGTTTTTCAACTAGGATATCCTTCCACATCATTTCAATTGGTAATCATCATCTTTTTTATAGTAGTATTCCATGGCGCTTTTGGTTGGTTGAGGTATTGGGATACATATAGGACACTAGCTGACTTCTTCCCATCTGCCCAAGTCTTGGCAGATTGAGGTACTTGGTAAGTGTGGTGAGAGGTAGCAAGTGCATAGTGAATTAGTTAAGGTGTGCATCCGGCTGACCCAAAACCACCATTGTTTGAAAAGAAAATTATTGCATGAATACGTTTTTCTTTTTATATGCCCCCAACATCAACTGGCTCATCATAATTGATGATTATTGTTTTGTTGTAAGATCAACACCCTTTCCATGTTGAATTCGGTATGCAATCAAATTTTCAAAATTATGCACTATTGGATAAGTTAGATATGCAGACTCTTCCCTATCTATCTGTTTTCGCTGAGGATACTTGCACACTGATGCTTTTGGTTTTGGTGGAAATAAATCTCTTGTATCCAAGTTTTTGCTTAGCGAGAAAGTTGGGTAAATATTGCCACAAAACCTTTCCAACATGAGGCTAGATTAGTTTTGAATTGGTCGGAGAGTGGTATGATGAATCCCATTTGATTTTGTATGTGGGAGAAACTGGGGTAGCATGACTGAATTAAAGGGGGTGGAGTATTTCTCAGTCAAACAGGTTAAGTTAAAGCTCCGGGGGAACTTTCAGAAGGTTGAATGGAGAAGGTTGGTGTGCAACAACATCAGTTCACCTATATGGATATTCATCTTGAGATTAACTGCTTTGCACAAATTATACATCAGGGATAAAATGGGGGGATGGTTGTGGATCGTAGCTTCCCTTTGTGTACTATGGCTGTTGAAGCCACTCTCACCTCTTAATTGCTTGCTCAGTATCTGCTCATGCGTGGAAGAAACTTCTCTACTGGTTTGGAATATCTCGGGTGCCTGGAGAGTGGGAATTTGAACTATCATGGGCTACATCATATCTAAGGAAAAAAGTAGTCGAGAAGTTTACAGGATGCTACTTGCTGCTGCCATTTACCAACTGTGGAGGGAAAGGATCAAAGGAACATTAGAGTCTTCCATCAACAACAAATAATAGCGGAGCAACTCATAAAGCTAAATCAGGAGGTCCATCCCAGAGGTAGATGTCATGCCAAGGTAGGTAGATGGTTAGAGAATCAGACTTTTTATCCAACTTAGGAGGGCAGGAAGTTCATGGAAATGTTTGTGTGTTTGCAGTAGTTGTCTTTGTTGCTCTGGGGCTAATAAAGCTCCAGGTTGTTGATCTTTGCGCCTTATGTGGTTAGTCCCATGAGGATATCTTTTAGACATTTTATTATATCACACAAACATCAACATGTCAATTTTGATGTTGATCTTAGTTACTCTTGCATTTCTTTTAACTCAGAGCCTATCGAAAACAACTCTTCTACGGAAAAAAGGTAATGATAGCGTCTGTTCACACGCCGTCTTTGAAACCCCACCATCTTGTGGGACTATACTGCGTATTAAATTATTATTACTTCTTGTTAATAATGGCTCTCTAAGCATGAGTCCAAAGTTCTTTTATTTTCATTGGCATGTTAATTGTTTGGTAGACAAGGACACGAACATGGCCACTGATTGCGGCAAGTTGGGTCCTAGTACTATCAAAACATTTGACTAATACTAATTAATGTGTATCTTTGTTACCAGTTCCTACCTTTGCCGTTACAGCAAAGCAAAGTATTTACTTATTTCTTTCAAGTTTCAACTTCTTTATTTTTAGTTGTTATTGCCAAGCCTCATCAATCTTTCTGGTTTTAGCTTTAATCACGTATTTCTAAAAAAAGTTATGTTTACGTGAGTGACGAATCTAAGATTTAAATCTTAGCGTCTAACTCATAATTTTTTGGTTTTAGCTTTACTTGCGTGTTTCAAATCTTATATTATTGATTATTTTTTTGTTATATTCACATAGATACCTATATTCAGTAAAAAAAAATATATATATACTAGATTCAGTTAAATTCATAACACAAAAATTACATCCATCATTGGATGGAAATGGAATTACCTCGTTATGATACTCAATATCTTGATAGTTCTATTAAAAATAAAATTATAATTGACTTTTTGAAACAACTTTATGTATTTTCCGTTTGTATAGCTAAAAAATCATCTTTATGTATTTTCCGTTTGTATAGCTAAAAAATCATATAATGGTGATTGCAATTATGGCACATGAAATTTGGTGGCATTTGCAAAAGTTGGTATTTTTTAATAACATACATTTACATGGTTAAGTTTCTTGGATATTGCCTTACCTTGAAAGTCTCTACAAAATCAATGCCCTATGGTCCACTGTTTGCAAATTAAATCATTGTACAAACTCATCATCTATTTATTTTTGTTCTTTCGGAAAAGGGCCTAAAATATCCTCAAAATATTGGAAATGGTACAAAATTACCCTCCATCCACCTATTGGCTCCAAAATACCCTTTCCACCCACTTATTGGGTCCAAAATATCCTTGTCATCCACCTTTTGGTTCAAAATTGACCACTTATTTAACGGTTTTATATTTAAACTATTTAAATATTTTTTAAAATACATGGCGCTCAACTATATGTTACAATTTAACTTATTAGTATAATTTATAAATCAATCCACTACCCACCCCATTAATAATTAAATCCCTTTAAATTAATGAACCCGTCACATTATTAATGCATGCTACTGCCAATTGAGTGTTTTTAAAAATTATAGAAGTAAATTATCATACATTCAAGTGGCTAAATAAAAATCACCAATAAACTTACAAGTCTAACTATATTTATCTTAATTATTCTCACGTCTCAATTATGTGATGTTACTTCATAGGTAACTTTTTTTCAAAATAATATATTAAAGTTATAAAACAAATCATAAATATTTATAAAATTATATTTAAAAAAGTGCATGAATCAGTTCGGGATGTATTACTTCTTTACTTTTAATCATAAATTTTTAATTCTTTTTTGAAAGAAAGTGTCCTCCTAAATAAGCGGCTCAACTTAAATTTAATTGGGGCTCCGATTCGGACTCGAATAATTTTGAATGTCATTTTCAGAAATCTATAATTTCATCTTGTTTTTAGTAGTGTTTATGACGATTTTGATATTATAATTGAATTATTAATTGGCTGAGGTTTGGTTAGTAATGAGTGGGTAGTGGGTTGATTTATAAATTATATTAATAAATTAAAATTATAATCAATAATTGAACGCCAAGTATTTTAAAAAAATATTTAAAGAGTTTAATTTTAAAACAATTAAAAAAGTGGTCAATTTTAAATACAAAGGTGGATGACAAGGGTATTTTGGAGCCACTAGGTGGATGAAAAGGGCATTTTGGAGCCAATAGGTGGATGAAGGGTAATTTTGTACCATTTTCAATACTTTAAGGGTATTTTAGGCCCTTGTCCGTTGTTCTTTTAATATAATGTATTCCTACCCCTACGGTATCGTTTAGAAATATTATTCCGATAGACTTTCGATTCAAGAAATATATAAAAATTTAATTCATGCAATAAATTTTAGATAAATTGAATTGAATTTATCAAATAGATTAAGTTAATAAATAAATATTATATATTAACTTTACCATCCAGTCGTATTTAACGGTGACATATATATTCATCTGTCCTATTGTTGGAATACTGAAATTTGGTTTAAAGAAAATATTTGTCCATAGCGTCATTACGTGCACTTTTAAGTTCAACTTTTTGAAATAATATATAATTAACTGTATTTGTTTCTTTACCTATCATGTGAACATGTAGAGATTCTTTTCATTTTATTTCCAGCCAGTATTTGTCTAAATAGAAAGACAATTAATTATATTCTCTGTATCTTTCCAATAAATCCACACGTGATTAGAATAAGGTTTGCTATCTCTGTCTCTTTGGGTATTTTTAGTATTTTTTTATACTTTCTAACCTTAACATGTATGCCAAATGCGTGAAACTTTATTATATGTACAATCTTCACCTTTTTCTAGACCAGCATAACAATCGGTTACAATTTGATTTTGAAGTTTATTAATATGATTTAATGATATTTGGTTTATAATAAGGATGTATATTGATTAGATTGATTTGATTTTTAAGTTTATCAGTTTGATAAATTGTTTTTTTTCAAGTATTAGTGTTGTAAGATTGGTCAATTTGATATCAATTTGCTGGTCATTAATCATTAAGATTTGACATAAAAAATATTAGTAGAAAGATTTTATCTTGCTAAAAACAAATACCGATCAATTTGTAGAATAGCTTGAAGTTTGAAACAATCATAAATTGAAGTATAAAAAAATTAAGTCCTAGATCAAAGACTTTATATTACCGAATGATACAAATATACATCTATTATTAAATTTGATTTTGAGCAACCTTATCGTTTAGACAAACTATAGAAGTCCTTTAAGGTAATTTCTCAAATTCTTCATGTGTATTCACTCTATGGCATGTGTGAGCACTAACAAAACCGAAAAGATTTTAATTAAATCGGTTCACATATAAACTATGGGCAGCACATTGGTAGCACGTCAATTCGAACTCATGAATATTTGCACTGTCAAAATTTATATATAAAAGATTTCGATATTATCTGATGGTTAAAAATTTTATAGGTAAAACTAATCGCAATTTAAATCTTCTTTTGCTATAAAGCAAAAAGCTCGAATTTAAGATAAATAATTTCGTCAAAACAATTGATAGAGTTTTTTCAATCCACAGGTCTCTCATCTCCTAGCCAAAAACCTCGATTAGTCAGTAAATTTTAAATATCAAATTATTTTAATTAAAAGTATTATAAATTCAGGTTCAAACAATATTAATTGGAGCATAATATTAATAAAAAAGTATCCCCAGTAAACTTGGCATTTTTAATAATTGCTTGAATGATGATGTGATCTGTGAATATTATTTATTGGAGAGGAAAAACTGGCAGCTGGAAGTGGCTGGCCTATGCTGAGTTAAATGAGGTGTGTCAAGGTAGTGGGCGTAGAAAGGAAATGAGTAAATATGCAAAATTGGGATATTAGGTGATTTATTTGTTTAATTTTATATAAATATAAATATTTATTTATATTTGATTAAAGTTGTGAAATATTTTCTTTATCAAAAAAGTTAAAGTATTTTATTTTTTACATAACATATTTAAAATTACAAGATTAAAAAATAACTGGATAGCATACTTTTAATTTAAAATTGTCAAATTTAAAAGTTTTATATATTTTTAAACTAAATATCCATTCAAATTCAGACAAATAAATTAAAACAAAAACACAATATTTTAACACTCTCTTTCTTTTTACTCCCTCGATATCTCATACTTATAAATCACAACATTTAAATTAAAAATAAAATACTTATCATTTATCATCCGAGTAAATCTAGTATATTTTAGCCGGGCTAATCAATCATAGAAAAGTGAGATACAGTGAGTGGAGTATTATATTGAAAGGACGTGGGAGATGAGGGTGGATCCCACACCTTTTAACTCATCACATGCACTTTCTCGAGGGCTATAAAAAATTAATTCAAATTAATTTATTTAAACATAAATCATAATTTAATTTAAATTGTTATATTTGTTCGAGAGATGTACTTAGTTAAAATTACAAAAATGTCTACTTACTTATATTAGTAATCATTAATAATCAAAGATATGCAGATAATAATCGAACCAATTCAACACACATTGATTATTAATGAATAAAGTTCATTTTATTTAGTTTCTAAATAAAATTAGAAAGTAATCATCTATAACATTCTTATGCAATAATAATGACTATATAATAATTTTTTTTGTGTGTGTTTTAAGTACCGCGTGGACCCCAACACCGACACATTAAACTTTTCATATATTTATTGGTTTTCCCAGTTACAGACTTGCAGTTGTTAATTTCAAAAATTTCCAATAATATTTCCCTCTCTTTTTTTACGACAACTATTATTAGCCTATTAGGGCCACATTCCCTACTTCAACTTGACTTTTACTCCAATTAATGGCCAATTAATTAATACTCCTGTAGAAGATAGTCTTTGCCGACTGAATCGAAATATAGCGATGAAATATTATTTTTTTATCGAAAATTTTGATTTTAAACATATGTAATAAGCAAATTATATGTCCAAAAACGTACTTAATATGGAATATTTTTCTTTTAATTAGTAATAATTAAAAATATATTTAGTATAATTTCATAAATATGATCTAGCAAGTTAAATTAATCGAACTAGTAAATTTTGAAAATGAATGATAAGACGAAAACAATAATAATAAAGTGGTGTACCGCACTTTTAAATATGCCATGCCCTTTCACTTTAAATCTTCCCTCCTACCCCCATCTCCCCCCACCCCCACCCCCACACGCTGGTTCGAGAACCCACTCTTTTTTCTTTTAAAATCCTTCTATTTCCACTCTGTTTTCCTTATTATAGCAAATTGCAGTGCTAACATAAAGTAAAGTAGAAAAATATGTTGCCGCTAAAATTCGCCGTAGCGGTGTTTTTAGTGGTATTAATTGGGAATTCTGTTGTAGCAGAAGATCCTTATAGATATTTCGATTGGAATGTCACTTATGGAACTATATATCCTCTCGGAGTTCCTCAACAGGTTCGTTTCTGTAAATGCAATGTATTTTTTTTTTATATTATATATGGATCTGGGTTTATTAGATCAATATGCTTATGTAACGGTGAAATTTATGTTATGTTTGTATAGGGAATTCTGATTAATGGTCAATTTCCTGGTCCTGATATCAACTCGGTCACCAATGACAATCTCGTTATCAATATCCACAACAGCTTGGATGAACCTTTTCTACTTTCCTGGTAATTCACTGAAACTTCCATTTTTCTGTTCACATTTAGTGCGTTGCGTTGATTACGTTGAAGATCACTAATCACATTTGATGGACTCGTGATAAACTTAACTGTATCAATTTCCAAAAAAACAAGGATAGCTACATAGGAATAATTTTTGGGTAATTTCCAGTTTGTTTCTGGGTTATACAATTGGCAAGTGCATTGGTTTGGGCAAATCTGTCTGGTTAATACGGTTCTGCAGCCAAATCTTTCTATAATAAGTTACATTTTTCAAAACAAATTGGCTCTAGATCCTGAATTCGTCTTTGTTTATCGCCTTTTTTACAAGAGACAGATATAAGATTTCGTGATCAGTGGATGTAGAATATCAGTATGTAATTGCTGGTTTGTATAGATCTACATTTTAAAAACAGAAAATAATAAAAAATGACATGTAAAATTGAATAAAAATGTCTACCAGTTACTAATCCTGGAGGACATTTTTGTTCAAAGAGCAAAAACAGAGTCTAGTTTGATATTTAGGGGTCCCTTTTTTCTTTTTTTGATTCCTTCTCATTTTAGCCGATTCTTGCGTCATTTAAAATAAAAAACTTTAGTAGTACTAGCGAATAAGTTTAAAATTGATGAACTGTGTCATACATGTTAACAACAGTTTTGTATATTTGATCTAAAAATTGAATGTTTCGGTGACCGCAAACTATTTCGGTGCGTAAAAAAAAAACTTATACAACATAACAACAAATCCCGTATAATTTCATAAACAAAAATATAATAAGTGAATAACTTAGGAAGAGAGCAATTTTCTAAAAATTCTCAACAAAAACTAGGTAGTATTGGAATTATTTATTTTGTGGCTTTGGTAAGATTTGGACGACAAGTTGACAAGTTCCACTTGACTATTGCTGGCTTCTACTGACAAAGAATAGAGAAAAAAAAATACCACATGGGGTTTGACATCAACATTTTGCAAGTCTCGTCGGAATCTTCGTGGCCTTTTCCAAATTCACACGCTACGAATCAATTTTAGCTATTTTTGGGCAGCAGCTTAATTAGTTAGTTATCCAGCTGTATAATTATTAACAACTTGTTTTCCAATTGTCATTCTAGACTAAGCAACAATAATCTGATCGAAATTGCGTCACTCTTCATGAAAATAAAAGTCCCATATGTTCACAGTTGAAGCATAGATGACATTGATACAATATGAGCTCAGACTCAGTATATATTTTAATAACATGATGAAAGAATTGAATTTCAACATAGCACAATTTTATAAATTAGCTCATTAGAAGTCGTGATGATAAAAAGTTGTTGGTAAAGAGCATTATACCACTTATTAATTTGTTTACATAATTTAAATTAGTTAAATTAATAAATTTTGAGAACGGACAGAAAAAATATATAAGGTGAATTGTTTCACATAATATATACAGAATCACATGGTTTCGTTGGGCCTGCTGAATAAATGATTAGGTGTTGAAAATTTTTATTGAATATAACTAGTCGGTGGGTCATGTGAAATGCATGTGAAAAGTAGATGCAAATTCTGCGTCTCGTGCTTTGTCCATTGAATTATTTTAAATAGTCGAAAACGACGTTTGTTTTCATGTTCAGTTTTACATATTCTTTTATATGTATAATGTCTGTTAAAAAATAATTTGAAGAATAAATAATTTATGTTGAAGGATAAAACATGTAAAACGTATGCATGTTCACATATTATCAATTATCATAATATCCATATTCAATTTCTTTATTCCACTTAAAATAACGATAAAATAATATTTTTCCTACTTAAAACGTCTGCATGTTTTCTTATTATAGTCCATTTTGTGAATTATCTCATCTAAAAATTTAAATTAACGTCTTATCATCTCGAAATATACGTGTAGGAACGGAGTACAAAACAGAAGAAACTCATTTGTAGATGGAGTATATGGAACAACATGCCCAATACCGCCAGGGAGAAATAACACATTCAATCTACAAGTGAAGGATCAAATAGGGAGTTTCTATTACTTCCCATCTCTTGCATTCCACAAAGCTGCTGGTGGTTTTGGAGGGATTAGGATTCTCAGCAGGCCTAGAATCCCCGTCCCTTTTCCGGACCCTGCAAACGACTACACCATCCTCATTGGAGATTGGTACAAAAAGAACCACACGGTAATTGACTCAGTATATAAAAGTTAAATTCGAACCTTTGCATGTACCTTATGGTTGTCTAATCACTAATGTCTTAAGAGTGTCGGTAAGGTAAAGTGGCTAGTTTTTGTTTGGGTTGCATTTTTTGGAATTTAGTGTGCTTTTTGTCATGGGCCATTGTTTGTTGGGTTTGTCCTTGACCCAAATATGGGCCCATTAGTAGACAACAACTGTAAAGTGCACGTTTTTTTTTATAAAAAAAGTGGTAGATATCACGTGGAATTAGTCGAGACGTGTGAAAACTGATTTGACAACCACGGCCATCAATAACAAAAATCTTTCTTAGAGCAGAGTTATGTGATTTCTAGATTTGTAATTGAAGGGCTATGACTATTGTTTTGAAAAGAAAATGTGGATTTATAAGTTTGAGTGAAAGAGTTAAATGGAATAAATTTTAGCCAAAGTTTTGTGATAGAAACTCAAATTTATTTGTTATCGAATTTCGTTGTATACAGGACTTGAAAGCAATTCTTGACGGAGGCAGGAAGTTACCTTTCCCTGATGGCATTCTTATCAATGGTCGTGGTCCTAATGGTGTTACATTCACAGTCGATCAAGGTAAAAAGAACGATGAATCAACGTATTAAGGACATTTCGTAGCCTGATGTCATGACATTTCTGAAAATCTAACTGAGATTTTTTTTCTTGTAATAGGGAAAACCTATAGATTGAGGATATCAAACGTTGGATTGCAAAATTCATTGAATTTCCGCGTTGAAGGACACAAAATGACATTAGTTGAAGTAGAGGGAACACACACATTGCAAACAACTTATTCCTCACTTGATGTCCATGCTGGCCAATCTTACTCTGTCCTCATTACAGCTAATCAAGAAGCAAAAGACCATTACATCGTTGTTTCATCTCGTTTCACGACTCCAGTCCTCACCACCACTGCTGTACTTCACTATAGCAGCTCTAACACCCCCGTCTCTGGTCCTCCTCCTGGTGGACCTACCATCCAAATCGACTGGTCCCTTAATCAGGCCCGCTCCATCAGGTATGTTCATCTTTCAATTAGCTTATATGTGGAACGCGTTAAGTTTAATTGATTAAAACATAGCTGATAAACATTGATTGTGTTTTATAGGACAAACTTGTCAGCAAGTGGACCAAGGCCAAACCCACAAGGTTCATACCATTACGGTATGATCAACACAACTAAAACCATCAGACTTGCTAGCTCTGCTGGTCAAGTGAATGGCAAACAGAGATATGCTGTCAACAGCGTGTCGTTTGTGCCACTTGATACTCCTCTAAAACTACTCGACTACTTCAAGATTGGCGGATTCAGAGTTGGAAGCATACCTGATTCCCCAACTGGTGGAGGAATTTACCAAGACACGTCTGTTCTAGGTGTTAATTACAGGCAATTCATTGAGATTATATTCGAAAATAATGAGGACATCGTCCAGAGCTGGCATCTTGATGGCTACTCTTTTTGGGTTGTAGGGTAAGTTAGAACAAAATTCACTTCTAATGCCCCGTGATTTTCTAATACATTCATTCTTGATATTGATTTTTCCCAATGTTAAATGCAGGATGGATGGAGGCCAGTGGACTCAAGCTAGTAGGAACGGATACAACCTTCGTGATGCAGTTTCACGTTGCACAACTCAGGTAAGAACAAAACAGAGGAAAAACAGAATTTGAAGTCTATTTAGAAGTCAAACTAACGCGATTAAATGTTAAAATGTAGGTCTATCCCAAGTCATGGACCGCGATATACATTGCATTGGACAATGTAGGAATGTGGAACCTGAGGACTGAATTCTGGGCACGACAGTACCTCGGTCAACAACTATACATGAGAGTTTACACAGACTCAACCTCATTGAGAGACGAATATCCAATTCCAAGAGGCGCTCGTCTTTGTGGCAAGGTGGCTAATCGGCACACACGACCACTTTAAAGCAAATTCTGCAATTCTAGTAGAGGATAATTTAATTTTATACAATCCTTTTGTATTATTTGAGTTTAGAAGTAATGCCTTGTTACTACTAGTAGCTGCTAAAATGACCTTAGCTCAAGGTCGCATTCTTTCTTCAATTCCACGAAAACATTATATTTTGTTCTTTCCTCATTGTTGTAGTTACCTTAAATTATGATAAATGAAGTGCATTTTGAATTATCGTATGCACATTGGCAGATTCCATGTTTTTTACATTCTTTTGGGTCTCCAATGTGACTAATTTTAATTCACGTCAAAAAGTTAGGACGATTCTATTTTCATTTCGTGGTATTATTATTCTCTTCACTTATTATTTGATATTTTCAAATAGTTTCGATAAGTCTTTATTTGGTATATTCAAATAGTTAGAATAAGTCTTTCTATAGGCAAGCTAATCAATGTTCATAGTTAAAAATTGACAAGTTAAGCGTTGTTGAAACTCAACCATATTGGTCCCAAATTTGATGAGCATTTAGGCTTATGAACTTTTATTAGGACGTTACAACTATTGCAAGTTGAATTTAGGTTCAACTTTTAATTGGCCAATGACATTATGATAGAAAACTAAAATGTGATATTTTAGAATTAAAATTTATATATTTAAAAATTAAATGAGAAGTACTATAACGTTGTAATTTTTTTTATATTAATATATTGCAAAGTATATTTTAAAATATTAATGAATATTTAAAATATTTTTACTCACAAAAAATAAAAAATGAAAATTATGACAAATAAAAGTAAATAAAGACTATTTCTCAACTAAAAGTGAATGGAAGACTATTTCTCAACTAGTATTAAAGGTTTGGACTTTGGAGGAGTAAGTGAAATTTACTCTAAATTTAAGTCAAATCAAAAGATTAAAGTATGTTAAAATACAATTTACTTTTTTTTTTTTGGAAAATCAAAATTTAAAGCATTACTCAAAATAAATAAATAACAGGAAGTAATTATTATTTTTTAAAAAAGGGAGAAAGTGCAATTCATTTTAGTTCAAAGTAGTGCCGCCAGTCGCCTAATTTACCTGATGGCGGGTGAAGTTGCGGCGGCGGAGGTTATCGGCGTCAAGCACTTGAGTTCGGCTGAAGCTGCGGCGGAGGAGGAGAAGCTACGTCTTCTCCGCGAAGCCGTCCATGCGCTGCCAGTGAGCGCCGTCAAAGATTTATGGTCCATTGGGGTGCGTTTGTTTTTTATTGATATTTTATAAAGCGATTAATTTTGTTTCTTAGAAAAGAGTTGAACTTTCTATGTTTTTGAGTTAGATTTCGTTATAAATTTAACTTGGTAGTTTTGTTTTTGAATGTTTAGTTTAATTCTGTGAAATAAAAACTTCAAATTTCTTGTAGTATCACATAGATATTCCTTTATTAGTACATTAGTGTATTCATTGAAACTATGGATTGTTTGGAGAAGAGAAAGAAAATGTCATGAAAGTGTTAGCTTTAGAGTTAATTCGAGCTAGAGTTCGTTCTACAAGCTTCTTCGAGATGTAATTAGATCATATACGATAGAAAGCTGAATCACTAGTAAAGAAATTGGGATGCAAAGTTTCTTAGTGAATCTTCATTTTCGTAGAGTAGGTTGGGTATGAAATGTACTGAGGTTCTAGAGTTCAAGTATCAGTTGATCATGTTATATGACATAGCAACTTTCAGCTTCAAGTCACAAAAAAAGAGCTATTTGAGTAAGTACATCATTTAAATTGGGAGATAAGGAGCTCTTACTACTGATTCCCTCTTTGTTATAGCAGGAGGATTTAAGCATGTCTTTTGATACTGTTACCATTATAAAAAAAAAGCATACGTCTTTTGATAAATTCCACATAAGCCCTCTCCTTTTATTTATTCACGGGATATCTTAGCTTCAAGGTGGGTTGACATAGTTGAACATTGCACTTTCTGGAAATGATGAGAGGAGCATTGAATTCTATACTTTCACATATATGATCATAAAAAGCTTTTGAGGACTACTTCTATAATCTATTTTACCTCCTGCTCCCCTCATCCACTGCAATCCACCCTGCCGCCAACGCATGCACTAACCTTTTGCATACCAGGGTGCATTCAGGTGCATGGGTCTTGGAAGGTGCTGCTTGTGGTTGGTAGAGAGGTTTGCAAGAACATTACGGGTGTAAAACTAAGTGATTGAATTTATTGATTTGTTTGCAAAATGACTAAAATGACTGAATTTTATGAACATTAATGTATTGGTGGACCAAAACTATATCTTCGCGTTAGTAAGAGTATTTTGTAAAAGTAGGTTTCTGGTGAATTAAGTCCATTTTTTGTAATTTCAAAGCCATGTCAAATGGCTTGTTGCACTATGCGATACTTGAGGAACTTTCTTCCTCTAAGGAAAGAAGTGAATAATTGGTAAAGGTAATCTGATTATTGACTATGCGATACTTGAGGAACTTTCTTCCTCTAAGGAAAGAAGTGAATAATTGGTGAAGGTAATCTGATTATTGACTATGGTCGGTCATCCATCTGTAATTAATTTGTCCAGTCAATGAGTAGAAGACATTTTCTATTAATTCTTAATCTAGCAACTCAAAGAACTTTTTTTTTTTAATTTTATTTTAGGCATGTGTTCGATGCATTTTCCGACTATTTGGACTTCATGAACTCATGTGTTCACATCCTTCACTCTCAATATCAAAGTGGTGTGATATTTTAGAAGATGTGATGAGAAACAAAGATGGAGAATTTAATGAGCAATCACATCAAGAACGATCAAGGGAGACAAACTTTTGCAAAATATGCTTAGGCATTTTGCAATTTCTCTATTATGATGATACTGGAACTTTATTAAAAAAGTATAGTGCCGATGACTTTGCTGTAGTAATTTCTGAACTTGTAAAGCAACAATATCAACAAATTGATAGTTTTTCTCTTGAAGTCTCATTGCCTTCGGTTGTAACAGAAAATGATCAAGCAGTTTGGTAAGATTTTAGAGTCTGATGAATTTCTTTATCAATTTCATTCACGTTGGATAGGAGGGTCAGATGCCCCTCCAAAATACTTATGCTAATTTTCTTTCTTCGATCTGAAACTTATACTTAGATTTTGTTGTTTTCCACCATTAACTTCCATATATATATATATATATATATGTATGTATGCCTTTCTTATTTGAATACCTTCCAATATATTTTGTTTTCAGGTTGTATATGAAGAATAAGTACCGCCATGAACTTTGGTTCCAAGAGAAGGCTGAATGTCAATTCATTTCTACAAAAGACATCTTCAAACTATTAGTGATAAATCCATTACAAAGATTGTTGGTAATGAAATCTTCTTTTCTGATCTCTTTTGCACCTCTTCTGTAATATCAATGTTTGACACTATGGGATTAGAATTATGTTGGTAATAATTGTTATTTTTCATTTGGTGTGAATATATATGATATATGATACCTTCAAATTGAGAAAGTCAATTGGGGGCAAACGTTCTAACTGAAATGCGTTCTGCTGATTGGTCAATATATAAACCTGTAAAATAAAGGATGTAAATGTATATATATTATGGGTTATTCACGTTTGCAGGGTGTAAAATCTACTCAAAGTTCTTTTCGCGTTCGCTTAACATACTCACATTCTGATGCATTAACAAGAGATGACGTTCAGGAAGGGAATGGAGGAAATAAGAGGAGGAAAACAGGCATGCTATCTTGTCAAAATGCTTTTTTCCCATTTGAGATTTTAAGTTTCTAGTGCTTGGTACCTTACCTGCTGTTTCTCATTACTGTGTCTCAACCCTTGAGACACTATCGGTGGTGATAGTTGTCTTGTGGGCAGGTAGGCATAGATAAGCATGCATTTTTCATTTTTCTCTTGTTTTGAACAATATTTAGTTTAATCATATGCCAGGATGATGTAAACAGATGATATTTCTGATGTTTTGACTGTTTACTCTATTAAGCTTACTTCAAAAAGTCTTCTGCTTTAGGTTTTTCCAGTTCTTTCCCTTGCCTATATTTAGTACCTCCAGCATATTCATCCTTTTATACTCATATTTTTCCTTCATATGCTGTCTCGAGAAAACTCTAGTATCAGTGTTCAAAGGAAGTAATTTGAAAACAAAAGGAAAATAGAAATCCATGAATTGCGACTTCTATGCTCCTGCATTTGAATATTGGATCTAATTGCTAAAGTGAAACAAGTATCCTCTCAGTACTCTTCATTTTATGATTGCCTGTGCTAACAAAGTTCCATTCTGTGCTCCATAATATCTGCTGGATCAAATGTTACTGGTTGTCATCCCATAGTTTATTTGGGTGCAATAGAAAGTATTGACTGATCGTTGTCAGACAAAGCAGGTTTCACTGGTGACCTCAAGACAACTGGGGAATCTGTTACTCCTCATGTTGAGTCTTTTGATAGTAATATTGTTGATGGAGATGGACTGACTAAAGTTTGTCCCAAGGAGGCCCAAGATCTCAGTTGTAATAACTTAATGGCTAAGTTAGATAAGGTATTGAGGACTTCTAATTATTTTTCATATGATGGAACTCCAACTATTCACTCTATTTGAAGTTTATTCAATGTATATATTTTTCAATCATATATAGTGAATTTTTTTTCAGGTCGGTAAGCCTTGTTCTCTGGCCATTCATTGCTGCAGAAGCTCTACATACATTGGAGGGAGATATCTTAAGGTATAGCAAATTCAACCTGAAAAGCTTTGTTGTAAATATACTTCTCTGCTAAACCCATGAATAAGCACCACTGGCTGTTTGTCATCATTGAATTCTGACTTTCTGAGCTCTGCATACGATTTAGTTTTTTGACTCGAAAACATTATCGCCAGTGTTTATGCTGCTTTCTGTACTTCAAAGAGGTGTAACAAGACTAGAAGGAGAAGGATGCAAAATGTTGTGGAGAAGTTAAATCATCCTATGTGAAGGACTTTCATAGAATGTATGTAGATTGGAGATTGTTGCTTGAGAAAATCTTAATTGCCAGTGAAATGCACTGTCATTTGACTATTAACTACAATTTGACATTGTTGTAGGCTAAACATTGTAAACCAATAGCTTGCACATGTACCCGACACCTTAAGGCACTGAGTGGAGTAACTCACGACTTTTAGAAACCCCTGCTAATCGGGTGATTATGATAATATGTAAAAGAATGTAATCATCCAACCCAAAACCTAGGATAAGTTTAGTGATTAGGAACATTTATTATCCCTTTGAATACCAATATATATCTGATGTAGGACATTATACATCTCTTAACAATTTTGAAATGGTGGAAGGTGGCTTATTCTTCAAATATAACTTATTAAATTACCATTAGATATGTAGGTTATAATTATTCAGCTAAGCTCAATCTTGGTCTCCCCACTGTTATTGGACATGTGTAGCAAGCAAGCCCATGTACTAATCTCATGTCTGTTTCTGAGAAGGGTTATATCTATATTTGTGAATTCTGCTTCTTGCTCATTATCACAAACTTTATGTTTGATCAACCCTTCTTAGTTCCATAGTCCATTTAAAAAGTTGCTCTGATGGAGTATTAACCACCTGAGAATGTGCCTTTACTGCAGTATTCGAGAAATGTGAGCCAGACACGCTGGGTTATTGATGATGAACGAATGGGAGAAGCATCCGTTGAGGTATTTCCCTATTCTTTATTGTAGTAATTTCTGTTGTTGGTAGTTACTGGGATTATAATTGTTAACTCTTCTTTGAATGTTCTCTTAGGAAATAATAGGTGGGGCCATCCTTCCTATCTTCCAGGGTGACAATTATAAGTTTCATGCTGCCGGTAGGGAGGACATTGATGTAAGAAAGATCTGGTTTCTGACAGACCATAATTATTGGATGATTATTGATCCTCTAGTCTCAACACTACCTTTCTCAGGTTCGGATGCTCGGTACAGGCCGTCCTTTTCTTGTAGAGATACAAAATGCACGCCAAGTCCCTTCTGAAGCACTCATAAAAGAAATAGAGAAGAAAATTAATAGTCTAGAAAGTCAATACGTGAGTTGGTTAATACTTCTAAGCTGTCTTTGATAACTTAAATGAGTGGAGCACACTGCACCACATCATTTTCCCAATATATATGCAACAGTCTTTACATATTTTGCATCAGGTCCGGGTTAAAAATCTTAGAGCTGTAGGCAGTCAAGGGTGGGACCTCATGCGTGAAGGAGAGGCAGAGAAGCAGGTAAACCTCTGGCTATTTGAGCTAGTACTAGCTTATTTACCAGCCGATCTCTGCTTAAAAACATATTTATTTCCACCTATCTTTTCATAAGAAATTTCTTTCCATCCAATACAGAAGCAGTACGCTGCATTGGTGTGGATTTCTCGTCCTGTCAGTGATGAAGATTTGCAAACTATATCATCACTAAAGGAATTGGTGAGTAATTCTCTATTTGGATTTACTGAAAAGAGTTTGAAGAATCCCTAATCGTTTGTGAAATTTTGCGATAAACCTATCACATATACATTCTTACATATATTAAGAGTGTGTTCGGTAGGATGGAAAATGTTTTAACTGGAAAATATTTTTCTAGGAAACTAAATGGGTTTCTTACTTATTTTCTTCGGTTTGGTACGTAAGCAAAAAATATCATCCTAAAAGCATTTGTATGTAATCAATGTGGAAGGGGGCTATGAGGGTGGGATGAAGATGAGATGTGTGGGAGGGTGGGTAGGCCACAATCAATGAGGAATGCTACTTGTGGAGCTTGTTTTCCTTACTTTCATTAGGGAGCTCATCTTCCTCATTTTTAAGGAGCTTATTTTCTAGAGAATGTTTTTCAAAAATTTTGACTAACCTAACATGTGAAAATTAGAAAATATGTTCTGAAAAGTGTTCTCGTCCGTACCGAATACACCCTAAAAGAATATATCAGAAATATATTGAAAAAACAACTAAGACCAAGATTACCTATTCTTTTTGCTTTGAAAAGAGTACATTTTATATTTTCATGGAGCACTAGCTTTTATTAACTGTTGGAGTGCCTGGCATGATTGTTCATATATCATATCCCCTCCTTTCAATTACGAGTGTTGAACTACTACTAAACATGGGAGTAGCATCAAATGTAGTTGTGTGTGATTTGATAATTTGTTAAGGGCTGATCCACTACCATCTTATCTAATAATATGTTTCATTATCTCTCCCCGTTTTTTGTTTCTCTGGGCTTCAGAAAGTTGCTCAAAAAACGCCTATAAGGGTTCTTCATCGCCGAAGTCCATTGGAGAGAGAGAAAATTATACATTGGTATGAACAATTTCTAGCAACAGACTAACAACTATGGGTTTACTTTTATATCAATCGTGACTAGTGTTGTTTCTTGTGACAGGATGCAAGTGGAGAGGGTATCTGGAAGCTCACAATATCTTCTACTGCATCTGTGTACCCAGGTTACCATCTTCCATTGACATTACTTCGCTTTTCTCTAACTATGTTTTCTTGGGAAAGAGAATACGCGGATAAATAGCATAGTTACATAAGGGCTAAAGAGTTCTTTCATAATTGCTGTGAAAGAGCATAATACAATGGCAGCTGTCTTTTACAGGCTGGGACATATATCAAGGAATTTGTTCACGGGGATTTTGGTCGCACTCAACCTAGGTATAAAGTTGTTATCTTTTTTGTTTAACATTGTGCTTCTCCCTTTATCATTATATGATTTTTATTAGCTCTATTAGTTTATTATCATAGTTAAATGCTTCCCCAATAATGCTTCTCAAAAAGATATTCCCCAGAAATGTTGTACTTAAGGGGCCGTAATGCAACCATAGAGAGGATTATGATCTGCTGAAATCATAGTGAGGAAATTACCAGGGAGTAGGAATAATAGTAATTGATTTTCTTTGGCAAAAGAAGTTAGTACTTTGGTCCTCAATTAGCAAGTATTAGGCATTCTATCTGCATTGATAGTACGGTCAAACTCAATAATATTTGATAGGTTCAAACTCAATAAATTTTGTTTACTACACACACTAATCCCAAAAAAAGGTTCGGTTGCTACCTAGGAAACCGACCCTCTGCCTTTGGAATGGGGATAAGTTCCTTTAAAGTTGAGCTAAACCATTGGAGAATATATCCTTCCACTACTTTTTTTTTAAAAAAAAATTAAGCCATCACCATCACAGCTTAAAGCTATTAGGCGTGGGGGGTTTGGCTTGACCCCTACCATGTCTATAATTTCCATCATAAGTTACACAAAAACCAGAGGGGGGCATGTACCTAACCTCTGGAAAAAATAGAAAGTGGAAATTAGGACATCAAAAAAGGGAAGGCAACCTACTTGTAACCTTCCACTCAAGCAAAAATACAAGATTCAACTAACAAAAAAATTACATTTGTCGTATCTTCTTCTTATACAAGGTAGTTGCCATCTATCCTTCCACTGCTCAATGATGAAGTGATCACGCCTGTTTGACAGTAGTAGCATATATTGACCATGGCAGCTCAGTAGAAGCTGGAATAGTTAACCATTTCACAATAATCTCTTACTTTTTGTGCATTATCTAGTGTCATGTTAGTTACAGGGTTGTGGGATAAATCGCTGCAAGGCTAACTCGAGAACCTTTTGCATTTACGGTCTTTAGCTAATTTATGAATTATATAAGGATGGAATGAGGAGCCTGCCGGTTGGTGTCAACAATAAGATTGTATTAAATTATATTTATCTGTTGGTCTACTTATCAGTTCTTCAACTATAAATTTACAAACCTTCTTGTGTGCTGCAGTATCGGTTCAATTCTTGGTTGCAGAACAGAGATACTGCAACTCGATGTTACGGATGTGAAAATGGATTGCTTTCAGGAAGAATGAAAGAACTATAATATTCTTGGACCCAGGAATTTGCATTTGAACATTAGTTTTACATCCCTATTTTGGTGTAACATTTTGTATGCATCATAAGATCAAATTTTCTACTATTTAATATGTATTATGAAACATCTGCAAAATCAGTTGATCATAATACTTAATTTTGATGCTATGACATTTTTATGGCTATACACGCTTCTCGTTAAGGGTAAAACGAAACGTGTAAAGTTAATTGTTCTAGATATAGAAATTATGTCATTCTTTTTGTAAGGTTTGGAGTATTATTTTACCATTCTTTGTCAACAAAAGAGGAAAGGGTAATACCCAAATATACCAATTTCCCTTTTACATAAATATTATGTACACATCATTATTCTGGAATGCATCATCAGTGGTTATCCTATATGAAAAATTGTTCATCTTGTTAACATTTTTTTACATGCATCCTTGAGCCAAATAGACGATCCGTGTTTGGAACTGAGGCGTAGTTATTTCCGATAACTCTTTTGCAAGCAGATACCTTTTATTGGATGATGAAGCACCAACTGTGAGGACATCAAAATCCGACCACCTTATTTGTGTTCCACTATTTTCCATATTATACCTTTGTACAAACATAATTTTACTCAACCCAAGCAGCACCCAACTCTTTAGCCATGAATGCATATCTGTCTGCAGCTTCATCAATCTGCAATGCAAGTTAATGAAGTTTCAGACTTTCCCAATCGGCACCTCGGGTCATTAATTGAGCTCACCGGGGCATAGCTACCACGGCTACTATCAACCCGAGCCCTCCAGGTTGTAAAATAAATGGTTATTGGTGAGAAGCTTACGAGTTTTTGTGTTGGACGTCCACATCCATGACCAGCCTTACGTTCGATCCTACCAACGATAGGGTTGGTCTGGGGACTTCCCTCCTGGCTCGTGCACAGGACGTATTGCATGGTCTGCAGAGCATGTCGCGATGGATGGAGTTAAGTTCTATGTACTGATAATGTAAATTTATAATATTTAACATGATTTTGCTAACTAATAACTTACAGCCAATAGTTTCAATGAGTGCAGTGGAACAACTCTATCATCATGATCTGCAGTCAATAGCATGATGGAAGGGTATTGAACAAATGCTAAATTGACAGATTTTTCCCATGGCCTACTCACATTATGCAGTGGTGAATACCTGAAGAGAATATTAGATGAGTAACTTGGATGTTGTTGCACGTGTCAGATCCCCCAAAAATGCAAAACCGACAATATTTTTAAAGAGTCCGAGGAATTTTTTAAGTGAGGATAGTAAACTTACTTGATTAGCCACTGAAATTCTTCCTCCTTATCAGAACAACCAAAATCAGAGGTCCATGCATGGCCTAATGAGAAATGGAAAATAAATTGTAACTACACACAAACAATAACCAAAATTGTAGCAAAATATAAATTTATATATATATATATATATATAAAAACTTACCTATAGTGAATTTGTGGAATCTAAGCATATCCATAACACCAACATGAGCAAGAGCACAGCCAAAGAGATCAGGTCTCTGCATTTTTGAAGTTAACACTGAATTATCAGTACTAGAATCAGGGGCGGAGCTACAGTTATCCAAGACATTCCTTCACCGGAAAATTACACTACTTATATAGGTCTTTTTTATAACGTATATCTACTATATATGTTGATCCCTTGGCTTCTTTGTACGATAACTCTGAGGTCGGGGTACCACTAATTTCACGATGTACTTGCTACCTCATACCAGTATACAGGTGTCGGGTTTCTATGATCCCCTGTATTTTAAGATTTTGAATGCCCTTGGTAAAAATCTTGACTCCCCGCCACTAACTAGAATGCAACAAAAGCAAAAATAGACATATTGAACCTAATTTTATTTTATTCACTTTTAGGTCACCTAAAAGACAACTACAGGTAAATTTTATTGCAAACATGAATGCGTAACCTGCAAAACATCCAATGTTACCTATTACAACAGATAAAACAAGACTATTAGCGTATATATAAGTTAAATCCTTTGAACGAATATCTGAAATACCTGATTTACACAGGCTCCAACAAGAAGTCCACCATTGCTTCCACCTTCAATACACAACTTATGTGGCTGTGTATAACCAGCACATACAAGATACTCAGCAGCAGAAATAAAGTCATCAAAGCAATTTTGCTTTTTGTTAAGAGCACCACCTTTATACCACTCTTCTCCATATTCTCCGCCACCACGAATATTTGCTATGCAAAACACAACACCTAAATGTTTCGCGAGCACAACGCGAGCAGCAGAAAAATGTGGTGTAATACTAACATTGAATCCTCCGTATCCGTATAATAAACAAGGGTTGCATCCATCAAGAGAAATACCCTTTCTAGACACTATGAACATAGGTATCTTGACACCATCTTTACTTGGCACGAATACCTGCAAATGAAGCCCCGTTCGCAAGAAGAATCGATCAAAAAACAATTTTTTCCATTGTTGAATCCAGTGTATTACAGAGTGGTAACATCAGTTGGATTTAACAACACGAAAAGAGGGATGCAACAACAAACAAGGCAATCACTATTTCAGACATGTTTACGATTACAAGAGGCATTTTGGTATATTTTATATAAAATTAGTTTAAGACCACAAGATTCAACAATCTTATTTACTTTCTTAAACTCTGAAACTACGTGTTAAGTCAAAACCAGACAAACAAATTGAAAAGTAAGGAATACATGATTTATTTTTAACACAAATACGGGTTTGGTACTTTTGCTACTCATAAGCATCACATAAATTGTCTATAAAGTGCGAAAATTCATTCACCTGATTAACTTGAAACTCCGTCCGATCAAATCCAGGCACGACGATTTCTCGAAATACTTTAAGGTCAGGAACTTCACCTTTGAGATTACACTGATATATCAATCCAGGGATCAAGAAGTTCATGAATCCAATAAAAATGGAATCATCTTTTCGACGAGCTGAAATCCCCGAAACTCTGCCAATATCAATAGGTAAACAATGCAGCAATTCCCCTGTTTCCAAATCTCTCAACTGCAGAACATTCTTCACATCTCTCAAATAACTCACAACAAGTTGATTTTCATTTACTGCAACAGCTGATTGTAACACATCCTTTTCGTCCTCTTCGATTATGTCAGACCAAAAATCAGGATTTTCAACGTCTACTCTGATTAATTTGTACTTTGGAGCATCCTTGTTAGTTTGAAAAGTGAAAATTGTGCCATTATGTGCAACGTAATCATACGAGGCATCAAATGTATCAACAAGCTTGTTAAAGGGAAGCGCATCGCGCTTGCCTTTGTAACCTTCAATTCCATTTGGTAGTGTAGATAAATCACAATAGTATAATTTGTTGACAGTATCACAGTTCCTGAAAATGTATAGCAGAACATACTGCAAAATAAAAGGTATATTAAGATAGTCAAATGGACGTATTGGGCTGATTTTGGCCACGTTAAAATGGTTTGAGTTAATAAATGCGTCTATCAATTACTTACGATGAATTAATTACCTTTCCATCTTCAGTAACTGAAACTATATGTCTATGCATTGGATTTTCTGGATCTTTCCAACACAATATATCATCAGATTGATCAGTTCCCAATCTATGATAATATACTTGCTGGTGTAAATTTGCATTTGTCTCTCTTCCAACGTCCAAATTTTCACCGTTTCTGAAAAAAATTATCTCCACATTTTAGAATTAACCATATAACCAAAATATAGTCAAAATTTTCTTACATTATCAGGTCATTTAAAAAGTACATAACTAACTTTTATGCGTATATCTTATATGGAGTTCACGGGAATCCAGTAACTTTTGGGCTAATCTTATATTTGTGTTACACTTACTTGGGAGTTGGATAACGGCTGTAGAAAAATCCTTTATTGTCACGAGTCCAGCTAACATTTGAGAACTTAACCTAATTAAATAAAACAAAATTACAATCAAAATGGTATAGTAGTGTAACTTTTTTTTTATATTGTCAGCATATATATAAAATTAAACGAGATATTATACATTAATTCTAAAAACGTACCCATAAAATTGTATCAGGCTCATCGCGTTTATCTTTCACTCTCATAACTTTGATAGTTACCCAATCACTTCCACTTGAACTTATACCATATGCTAAATAGTTAGCGTCATCACTAATTGCATATATACTCAATGACTCTGTTCCATCTTCACTAAGTGTATTTGGATCAAGCAATATCTCTGATTTTCCATTTAAACTATCCTAAAATATCAAATTCATATAAAATAAAAATTAGAAACAAATACAAAACGACTTGTTAATTGGCAATTATGAACGACCTTACAGTATAACAAAGAGTACATATAAAATTAAACTATTAGTATTATATACCTGAACGTAAAGAACTTTTTGAGGTTGAAGGCCCGTGTTATGAAAGTAGAAGTACTTATCACCGGCCCTAAAAGGAACATCGTATTTGGGAAAATCGAACAATTTTGTGAGTTTTTTACTTAGCTTTTCTCTTGTCTCACAAGTCTTGAGTATTGACTCGGTCAAAATTACTTGTTTCTCAACAAATTCTTTTGTCTCCTTTGAGTCTGGATCCTCAAGCCTAAAAATGTCATTCTATTTTAATCAGACTAAAATTAAACAAATATCATATAAAATGAAACAGAAAAAGTACGTACGTACCATCTATAAGGATCAGAAACATCGACACCATGATAGTTATCAACGACATATTCATCACGACGAGCAAATGGGTATGTCCAGCTCGGCTCATCGATAGCCGGAAGCGAACCCATTTCTCACCACAAAATTATAAAATCTCTTGTAGTAATAATAATTTTTTTTTAAAAAAAGGTATTTAACGTGAATTAAAAGGGTAATTTTCGAAATCTTTGACGTGGGAACAAGTTGCTTATTTTACCAGTATATATAAGAAAAATACAATTTTGAGAAAATTGAGATGACGTGAGTTAATGAACAAAATGAGAACATTTTTGGGAAGATTTCTAAATTTGAATGGTGAATTTGGCGGAAAAGTAATAAAAAAGTTGGATAAATGTTGTCATTTTGTGAATTATGTCGCCATATATTTTTTGGGACACTCATTTCAATTTTCATCAGATTCTTTGACGATATCGTAACATGATCGTCTCTTATTTCATGGGAAAAAAATATAATA